AGGAGCAAAAGGTGAGCAGGGTGAGAAGGGGCAGTTGGTGGGGCTGCCTGGTACCTCCTGGCAGATGGAGCTTGAGCTCTGCGCTCTTTTCCCCCCACCCTCAGGCTCCCTCCCGCCCCAGCGCTCAGACCAACACCAGCCAGCCTCAGCCCCTCCGATGATGCAGGCTGCTGCAGCTGCTGGCCCACCTTTGGTGGCTGCTACACCTTATTCTTCCTACATCCCCTACAACCCGCAGCAGTTCCCAGGCCAGCCTGCCATGATGCAGCCTATGGCCCACTACCCCTCACAGGTGACCATGGCACAGGAGGGAAAGGGGGGTGGTACAGAGCCCTTGCAAGGGATCCCACCTTCTCCGTCTCCACCACTTAGGTGCTGGGTGAGGGAGATAGTTGCATGATTGACTGTCAGACTTGTGCTGAAATCCAGGCTCTAACAGGGCTTAATGCTTATAACAGTCATTGAACACCTACTTCTGAGTTTATTCTTCTGAAGTGTAAATGAATTAGCATCTGCTTGAAAGGATTACTGTAAACCTTGAATAAATAAGGTATCTGCTAAGGCCCAAGCAGTGCTATGCACACGTTGACCAACTTCCCTAGTTGGCTGAACTAAATTCTTTCTGTCCCATTAGCCGGTGTTTGCCCCCATGCTTCAAAGCAGCCCACGCATGCTGACGTCGGGTAGCCATCCCCAGGCCATTGTGTCATCCTCCACTCCTCAGTACCCTTCTGCAGAGCAGCCCACCCCCCAAGCCCTCTATGGTGAGTTCTGTGCTTTTCCTGTCTGCTCTGGGCTGTACCTAGTGGCTTCTGGCGTGCTCAGCATTGGTTCTCTCCTTCTTCCTCTGCAGCCACCGTTCACCAGTCCTATCCACACCATGCCACGCCACTCCATGCCCACCAGCCACAGCCGGCCACCACACCTACTGGGAGCCAGCCGCAGTCACAGCATGCGGCCCCCAGTCCCGTCCAGGTGCCTGCTCTTGGGAATCTGAATGGTTGGGGCAGGAAGGGTGGCTAGAAGAATAGAGAGCCTGGCATTATTTCCCATTTGGAGATTGGGTCAGAAGTGATTGGCCTGGTACCAGAGGAGTACATGGCACTCATATTTCCCTTCACCTCTCCAACAGCACCAGGCGGGGCAGGCCCCACACCTGGGCAGTGGACAGCCACAGCAGAATCTGTACCACCCAGGGGCCCTGACAGGCACGCCGCCCTCTCTGCCACCGGGACCTTCTGCCCAGTCCCCTCAGAGCAGCTTCCCCCAGCCAGCCGCTGTGTATGCCATCCATCCCCACCAGCAGCTGCCCCACGGCTTCACCAATATGGCCCATGTTACCCAGGTAAGCACCCAAGGGACTGATCCGGCTGGGTCTCTGTGCCAATGGAAATGAGCCTTGACATTGTCCTTTTCTGGAGACACTATACCTCTTGCAGGAGTATCCCCAATGCTAGGATTCTCGGGTTCCATCTCAGACTTCTGTGGTTCTCCTAGCTGCTTTTTCTCCTTGACAGGCCCATGTCCAAACTGGAATCACAGCAGCCCCGCCCCCTCACCCTGGGGCTCCCCACCCGCCCCAGGTGATGCTGCTGCACCCACCCCAGAGCCATGGGGGGCCCCCCCAAGGCGCGGTGCCCCAGAGTGGGGTGCCTGCACTCTCAGCTTCCACACCCTCACCCTACCCCTACATCGGACACCCCCAAGGTGAGCAGCCTGGCCAGGCGCCTGGATTTCCAGGAGGAGCCGATGACAGGATTCGTGAGTTCTCGTTAGCTGGGGGAATTTGGCATGGAAGAGCTGAGGGGCTGCAGGTGGGGCAGGATGCACGGGTTCTGGGTGGGGAGTGAGGGGTCTTGGAGGCAGGGCTGTCCCACAGGGCGCCCGCCGACCTGCACCTGTCTGTGAAGTATGTAGGGTGGGCAGAAGCCACAGTCGCCGCCGCCAGGGGCTTGCTCCTGGCTCTGTCCTTTGCTTCCCTCCGTCCTCGCTCAGTTGTGATCCAGCAGCCCCCCTCCCCACTGCCTCCCCAGCTCTCAGTGACCCCGACTGTCTCCTGACTTAGCCGAGGTAAGGTCAGCGCAGCAGACAGGGCCAGACTGGGGTGTGGGGGGCTGAGCTGGGCACACGAGTAAGGGCTCTGGCTTACTGGGAAACAGCGATTGACCTGTGCTTCTGACAGCCCCATGAGACACCTTGAGGAGGCCGCTCCTACCCACACACCCCCACAGCCCCTGGACGCATTGATGAAGGGACAGCTGCTTGGGTTCTAATGCTCCTGCTCTCTTCTCTTTCCCCTCCAACCAGTTCAATCTCATCCCTCCCAGCAGCTCCCCTTCCACCCCCCGGGGAACTGAAGATTGTCCTGGCCGCGACCTGAGACCTCCATGAGTGGAGGGAAGAGTGATCTATGTCTCTTCCCCCAGCAGCTCGGACCAGTCCCAGCCCCCCAACCCCCCCTTTCCCCTGGGGGAGCTGGGGAATTCCTGCCAAGCACCTTGAATGGGAGGGGCCTCAAAGTGGGCAGGGCCAGGGTCCTGCAGGGGTGGGGGGTTCCTGCTCTGCCCCTGCCTGTTCCCACCCAATCTTGCCCTCCCATCCTCTCATCTATTCCTCCCTCCCCCCGCTGGAGACGGAAGATCTTTTATTTTCTATTATTTATAACCTCAGACTTGGGCCCCCTGTTCTTTCTTCCCCATTAACTTGAGTGACCTGCGTGAGAGACAGACAGATGCCCCACAAGGATGGTTGGACAAGGACTTTTACTTTTTATTACATAAAAATATTAAAAAATAAATAAAAAAAATAAAATTTTAAACTAACTTAACTTATAGTTTGCTCTTTAGAGATGAGAGGTTGGTTATAGTTCAGTCTTAGGTGATACTAGGATTACATTCATCATGTCACCTGTTCTCCTTTTGTCTAAAGTAGCAGTTTCTCTGAACCTAGGATAAGGAACCACCTCGAGTTGTGTGCTGTTCATTTGAAAAGTGAGTTCCAGTCTTAACGTGGAGTTGTGATTATTGATGGAGTTTTTGTGTTACTGGATGGTGAAAAGTACAAGTATCAGGGGAGTATTTTTTTTTTTTTTTTTTGGTAGTGGGGCAGAACACAGGGCCTCATATGCTAGGCAGATGTTATACTACTGAACTACTTATTGCTCTAGCCTTTTTTATTATTTTAAGACAGGATATTGCTAAGTTGTCAAAACTGGCCTCCAGAGGTGCTGGGATTATACTCTTGTACCACTCCACCCAGTTGTGTGTATCTCTTTATTGAACGCAGTTTGTTTCTGGCCATTGAAAAGTTATAAATAAATAATCAGCCTTATTGGTTGGTGCACAGCTTAGAGGTCTCGGCTGTGGGTAAAAACCTAGAGTTAAAGCTGCTAGAAGGGGGAGAGAAGTGGATTGGGGAACCAGTTTAGGGAGAGAGTAGGGGTTAGGACAAGAAGCATGGGGTGTTGAAATGGTAATAGGCTTCAGATGAGGTGTTTTTTTCAAGGTGGCAGTTTGGAATTCTTTGTGATCTGACTTCGGTGATTTTTGTCCATAAAATGAGATTATTCCTTCCTTCCAGGATTGTGAAGATGGGACCAGTGCTCAGTGTCAGGGTTAACCACTTGAAACAAAAACTTGAGGGTGTATGAGGAGGGGAGGGGCTTTAAATGAAAATTTTAAGTGGGGGAAAAAAAAAATGTGAGCCATTGGCCAGGGTTGGAATTCTAAGCAAAGAGCCCTCCAGATGGGAATAAACCCATGTGGTTGTATACACCTGTAATCTCAGCAATGCGGGAAATTATGGCAGGAGCATCAAGTTTTGAGGCCAGTCTGGGCAATTTAGCAAGGCTATGAATGTAGCTCAGTGGTAGTGTGTGCACCAGGGTTCAACCCCAAGTATAAAAGGGGCAGGGTCAGCAATAGAAACAGCTGTAAAGCCTGCATGCATTTGGGCTCAGGATGTATGTCTAGTTATTGTGGAAGGTATTTGCGGATATTATGGAGTAGTTTTTTGATGCTTTGTGGGAAGGTTGTAGATTGATTTATCATCTTTAGGCAGAAATCTCAAGTTGGAGCTTTAGCTTTCATGGAGTCAGCAGTTCCCATGAAAACTCTCAGCCTTGCTTGAACAGGAGGGTGCTGAAACAAACCTGCCTTGTCTTAGGATGCTGCTTTTGCAAATATTTTCCTTTTGCATCCATCCTCTTTGCCTCTTTCCCATTTTTTCTTAGTTTGCTTCTGCTTTGGAGTCATAGATCAGGTTTTGAGTCTGCCCTTGAATGGGCAGGTATCATGAGATGTTCAGGCATCAGGATGCAAGCTTGACAGGCCTGCCCATTTATAAAAATCCCCACTTTTTTTTAATTGGGATCAGCTTCTGTGGCAGTCATACCATGTTGTTTGTTTTTTAAAGATCTAAGCATTTCATTCCTTATATATTTGATACATTCCCTTTTCCTTAATTTCAAATCTCAGACTGAACATGTGGCTGCATGCTGCCAGGCAAGCACTCTACTATTGAGCTTGCTACACTCCTAGCCCTAACTGCATTCTTAAATGTTCTCATTCCTGTACTTGAAACCAGTCATAGAGCGGTAATGACCACTCAAGTACTCTTCAGGAATGATTACTTGGCTTTCTGAGATATGTACTTAGTACTTCTTATACACTGGCTGCTAGGTCCAGAGATGAACAAAGTATAGTCCCCACTAACATAGCACTTAAATGGGTGGTCAAGAAAGAAGATGAGTGCTTAGTGACAGCTGACTCCATGGTGTCTCCAAGCGACAGGCAAATCTTTTAGGAATCATAAGCTCACCAATAGTAGATTCTACTTCTCAAACTCAATAGCAGTTAAGATGGCTTTGAAGAGCTTTTAGTTTATATAACCCCCATAGAGATGGACTGAACTAAGCTCTTCATCCATCTTGGGCTTTATTTCCTTTACGTAATCTCCTGTCACTTCAATTTATGCAAAGGACATAAGACACAAAGGCTAGCTTATTATTCACAAATTTTATTGCCCTACCTTGCCTGGCAGGCCACCCCATGTAACCAGGGAAAGTGTCCATCTAGCTGCACTGGGCGAGATTGCAGCTCTAAAATTAAGAGAACCTGAGCAGAGGTCCACACTCAACTCCATTTGATGTTCTTGTCCTCTTCAGTCATTGCTGGTATGTCTGTGACGAGGCCTGTGCCAATGGTCCGATTGCCATCTCTCAGGGTGAAACGCTGGCCTTTCTCTAAGATCATTGGCTGCCGCAAGATTAGGCTGAGCTTCAAGTCCTCCCCAGGCATGGCAAGCTCCTAAAAGAGGTGGAGAGATGGACCAGACACAGACTTAGCAGTCTAACTGCTGGCTGCTGTGGAGGTTAAGTCACGGGAAAATGCAGCAGGGTGATGAATCTGTCTGGGCACAGCTTCATGTATTCTGACCATCAGACCACAGACATTATTCAAGAAACCCTGTGCTTCTAGAGTAGGGTACTCCCCCCACCACCACATTTTGGTACTGGATATTGCTTAATCACTGAGCCACATGCCCAGCCTTTTTATTTAATTTTGAGATGGCAGTCTTGCTAAATTGCTGAGGTTGACCTTGAACTTGCAATCTTCCAGCCTCAGCTTCCCAAGTTGCTGGGATTACAAGTATGCACCACCACACCCAGCTTGAGGTACATTCTTAAGAAAAATATTTAGAAACTTTGCTTTTAACAGGTTTCTTTGTCAGAAGACTTTGTATTTAACAACACTCATCAAGAGGCATCCTTTCCAGGGAAATTTTGTGGGTAAATGGTGATGTAGCTGGGCTTTTGACCTAGTTCAGCCTAGGGCATGCTGGATGAGGACTCCCAACTCCAGTGCTCTCTCAGCAGCAGCCACCAGCCTCTCTTAACCCAAGGAAACAGACCCACCCGAGCTTTCTATGACATCTTTGAACTATGAGAGCTGGTAGGAATAATACTCCCTTCGTGCCTTCACATTCCCTATACCCACCATACCTTCCCTGGAGGCAAGACAACACGACAGGCCATGTCCCAAGTCAGGGAGAACATGACAGGCATGAAGTGGGATACAAAGGGCTTGTGGCGGCCACCCTCCTCCTTGCTGAGGATGTAAACCTGGAGGAAAGAGCAATGAGGATGGAGCTGGGCTTGGCTAGAAGCCCTGCTGCTCTGCAGGGGACAGGTTAGCTCAGCCCTGCCACCATTACTTAGTGCCCTCACCTGAGCCTCCACCTTCTGGTGGGGCTGGATGGAACCTGGCTTGGCCATGACCAAGCCACGCCTCAGATCTTCCCGCTTCAAGCCTCGGACCAGGGCTCCAAGGTTATCCCCTGCCTCTGCCCTCTCCAGGCTCTTGTGAAACATCTCAATGCCTAATGGGGAAGAGAAAAGGGAGGGGGTAGACAAGATACAAGAGAAAGTCATCTTGGAACCAGTCCCTGGATGCCAGGGTTTGCTTCTTATACCTGTCACAACAGTGCGAATGTTCTTGCTATGTCCCAGAAATTCACACTCATCTCCTTTCTTCAAAACACCACGTTCCAATGTACCTGTCACCACTGTGCCTCGGCCTAGGAGAAAGGAGGACAGGATGTCAGACCCTGGGTCAGGCTGTTGCTGTGGGAAGTGATGAACAGGCAGAGTCCTCACCAGGAATAGAATAAACTGACTCTACAGGCAGCAGGAAAGGCTTCTCCAGATCCCGTGTGGGCACTGGGATGTAAGTGTCCACAGCGTCCAGCAGCTTCTGCACCGACTTCACACCTAGCTCAGGGTCACGTTGCTGTTGGGGGATGGGGTAGGATTCTGAAATTTCCTTTATTTCTCTCACCAAGAGCCACTCCCCCAGATAGATAGCAAAGCCCTTGAATACCCTCCTAGCCCCATCATCCATCAGCACTAACCCCTGCCTTTACCTCAAGGGCACAAAGAGCAGAGCCTATAATGACTGGTGTCTCCTCCCCCTTGTAGCCAAATTCTGTGAGCAGTTCCCGGATCTCCAGCTCCACTAGCTCCACCATTTCAGAGTCCTGGACAGCATCTGCCTTATTCACATACACCACAATGTGCTCCACCCCAATCTGTAAATGGGAAAGGAATAGAGTCAAAGTTCAGAGTCACTCAAGTTCCCACTCTTCCTCTTTCCATCCCCGTCCAGGCTCTTGAATACCTGCTTAGCCAGTAATAAGTGCTCTCGGGTCTGGGGCATGGGACCATCATTGGCTGCCACCACAAGGATACAGCCATCAAGAGGAGCAGTGCCTGTGATCATATTCTGGGTAGAAGGACAGAAAACAACCTCCTCAGCTCTTTACCACCACTTGTGGCCATGGCAAACCCTTGATCTCACATCCAAACATCTGAATCTATCCTAAAGCACCCCCTCCCCACAAAGCCTATCATTATCTTGAGAGGAGGCAGGTTCTGGACCTGTTCCTAGCAACCCTCACCTTAACGTAATCTGCATGACCCGGGCAGTCTGTGTGGGCATAGTGGCGGGCAGCAGTGCTATATTCCACATGGGCCGCATTGATGGTGATACCCCGAGCTCGCTCTTCCGGGGCATTGTCAATCTCTTCATACTTCTTGAATTTAGCCCCACCTCCCTCGGCTAGAACTAATTGGAGGGAAGAGAACACACCTCTCAGCCCAAGTTCAAAGCTAGAGGCAGAACTCAGGCCACACCCCTGGGTCCCTCCCATCTAAGTAAACCTAAGGGAGATCAGTAGATGAAAAGGGGCGGGGTGGGGGAGAGGCGGGGCAAGAGTTAATCCTGGGAAATGATATTGGGCAAATTATAGTTATTTTGTGTGTATATACAATATGTAACAACAAATCCCACCATTATATACAACTATAATGCACCAATTAAAAAGTCTCTTCCAGCGGAGACCACTTTGGGCCAGAAAAAAATTTAAAAGACCTCAAGGGCCTACCCAGTGACTTATGGGGAAGCCTCTTATCAGCATTTCCCAAGGCCAAAGGAAAGATATACATAGTTAAATATACATCCTTAGGATTTTTACATAATTAATGTATAAAGTTCAGGGAAATCTGGCTCCTACGTTTTCCAAATCACCTCCCCCACGTTCGAGTTCTCTTGGGGCGACAGTAAACTCTACCAACTGACACCGTGGTGGCCCCACCTCCCTGGTTCCCAGTCCCTCAAGTAGATAGGGCTCTGGCGGACGCCCCCACCCCAAGCCTGCTCACTTTTCGTGATGGCTGCAGTCAGTGTGGTCTTGCCGTGGTCCACATGGCCAATGGTACCCACATTCACATGGGGCTTGTCGCGCACGTAGGTCTTCTTGGCTTCCACAGCCAGACTGCGGTACAAGAGGGGAAATGCCCGGGCTTTCAGCGGTCGCAACACACCCTGCAGTAATGGGGTCGGGCTGGCGCAGAAACCTGCCAAGACAGGGGCGCGGAGTCAGGGCGTGAATCCGAGCCCAGCTGCCGCAAAGCCCGCACGTGCCTCCAGGCCACCATCGCCCTCCCTGCCTCCTCACCACTAAAGCGGGGCGTCGCGCGCAGCAGGGTGGCGGACGCCATTGTGGTCGTATTCTGCCCCCGAGAGCCAGTAGTGAGTACCGGGAACCCGCGCGTGCAACCGAGGAAGGGCACTTGCGGCTGCAGGTCACATCCGGCGGAAGTGAGGGCAGGTCTGGGTTCCTCTAGCCTCCAGTTTCTATGGGCGTATAGCCGACTTCCGGGCGTGGGGCGGAAGAGGAGGGTGTTTGTGTCAGGGAGGCGGGGAAGGATTAAAGTTTCCACAGCTCCCTCAGGCCTGGCAAGCTGAGGGGCGACGAAGGTTCCCCGGGATGGCGGAGCATTGGAGGGCGCCCGGTAATGTACCAGGGGCCCGACCGCTCATGAGCTTGTAGTTCCCAGGGCAGCGGACTTCGGAGGTTAGGTAGGGCTAGGCTGGGTTCAAAGGGAAGAAGGCCCCGGCCTGCGGGCGGCCACCGCAAGGACTGCTCGGGAACATCCTGGTCCCGGCGCAGAGCGGCACCGAATTCCCTGAGCGATCTGGCGGCCTCTGCCACAGCTGGAGGTAGGACCAGTGCCTGGACGGGGGCTCAGGTGTGACTCGTCTCTCTTTAAACTGTTAGCTGCAAAATGGGAATAGTGGCTTCCACTTCAGAAGGAGATCTGAGAAGGAATGAACTGGGAGGAGTTGGGAAGGGATCCCGGGGCGTCCAGTCCCGACCTCAGATACCAGCGCTCCTGTCTCACAACCTGCGGGGACGCTGACCTCACATAGTCAGAGCCACCAGGACAACTTTGCCGGACGCCCCTAGGACCCTTCTGCAGCCTAAGAAGCAATTCCCTTGGTCGTCTCCCACCCACAGAATTTTTTACAGATGACACCGAGGGTGAAGGACCACCTTAGGGAGCCTTTTGTTGTTGTTGTTGTTAGGGGGGATTGATCTCGAGCTCATGACCGCTGAGCCCCATTCCCAGCCCTATTTTGTATTTTATTTATAGACAGGGTCTCACTGAGTTGCTTAGTGCCTTGCTGTTGCTGAGGCTGGCTTTGAACTCACCATCCTCCTGCCTCAGCCTCCCGAGCTGCTGGGATGACAGGCATACGCCACCGCGCCGGGCTTGGGGAGCCTTTTAAGGACAGCCCTGAGTCTTGGTCCCGCCCTGGCCCCAGCGCTTAACACAGGATGGGGCTCGCAGTGAGTGAGTGCCCAGTAAATTTTGATTGAATGAATGAGTGCAAGGTAGTAAATGACCTTTCACATCCATCATCTCATGGCAGCTTTCTGTGACCTCACCCTGAGGTGGTGACAGTGGCTGCCTAACTCTAAGTTATGTTTCTGAAACTCATTATATACCCATGGGAATGTAACCCAGTGGTAAAGTACTATCCTAGTATGTGCAAAGTCCTGATTTTGATACTAACACCACAGGAAAGAAAGGAGGAGGGAAGCCTGGTGCAGTATTGCATTCCTGTAATCCCAGCGACTCAGGAGGCTGAGACAGGAGGATCACCAAGTTTGAAACCAGTCTAAGCAACTTAGTGAGACCTTGTCTCCAAATAAAAAAAAAAAAAAATTAGAGCACTTGCTTAGCATGTATGAGCTTTAATCCCCAGCACCCCCTCAAAAAAAAAAAAAAAACAATTTATTTTTAAAGTACACTATTTGGTAGGTAACATAATGGGTGTTATGAACCTATGACACATTTTTGGGAAAGCTGAGTGTGAATGCCTGAAATTTGAGAAACACAGTGCTCAGGATAAGAGTCCAAAATGGGGGAAATATTTTCTACAGCTGCTGACTATAGCAATTTTTTTTTTTTTAAATAAAGCATCTCACACTCTTTTTTTTTTTTTTTTTTAAAGACAGAGTGAGAGAGAGAGAATTTTAATATTTATTTTTTAGTTTTCGGCGGACACAATATCTTTGTTTGTATGTGGTGCTGAGGATCGAACCCGGGCCGCACGCATGCCAGGTGAGCGCGCTACCGCTTGAGCCACATTCCCAGCCCCATAGCAACTTCTATAAACGGATTTTTCTTTCACTTTTTTAAATTTGTGCCTTATTGTTGTAATGATTTGTTTCATATTCATACACGCACACAACATAACTGGACCAATGTCACTCCCCAGCATTTCCCCCTACATCAGGAATCTTGATTTACAGATATCAGACTTACATTGGCTGATTTAAGCAAAGAGGGATTTATTAAGGGTATTAGGCAGCTTACAGACTTAGGACACAGGTTTGAGGAACAGTTCCAAGCCATAGAATGGATCTCATCTGGTAACTGCTTAAAAAAAAAAAAAAAAGAAGAAGAAGGGCTGGGATTGTAGCTCAGTGGTAGAGTACTCGCCTCGCATGCGAAAGGCACTGGGTTCGATCCCCAGCACCACATAATAAATAAATAAAATAAAGATATTCTGTCCATCTACAACTAAGAAGATTTAAAAAAAAAAAAAGAAATTGAAAATAAAACTGCTGCCACTGCCAACAAATACTATAAGCCAGGATTTAGACTCATCTCTAACAGTTACTGCTAGTGGCACTAAAGCTTGTTCTACATCAAGAAAGTGACTTTCCCTCTCCCCAACCCCAAAACCAAGCACATCCAAAGCCTCACATGGATGTGTCTCATCAAAGGATCTTAAATGACATGTCAGTGTTCTTACATCAGTGGAGGCTGAGAAGTTGACTGACACTGATATTGGGGAACAGGTTTGACTGCAGAGAATTTCCTCAGATGTACAGTCTCTTCAAGATGTCCCTCTGTACTTACGACCATATTACTGTGAAAGAGTGGAAAGAGCACAAAGGTCCAGTCTAGTCTGGATATGGTTACATGGTCCCCCACCCCGCCCTCGCAGTTCTGGGGCTTGAACCCAGGGCCTTGTGCATGCTGGGCAAGAACTCTACATCTCTAGCACTTTATTTTGCCATAGAGTGCCACTAAGTTGCACCACCTGGCCTCAAATTTGCCTCCTGAGCAACTGGGGTGAAATGTAGGTTCAGAGGTAGAGTCCAGGAGAGCCAGACACCTGTGAAAACACCTGTGAGCAACGTTAAATGAAGAGCTCCTGGCCACTGTAGAAAAATAGCATGTGTATAAGGGGTGGAGACAAAGGAAATTGAAATACTTGCAACTTTAGAAGGCTGAATTTGCTTGGAGATTTTTCTCTCTCAAACATTTATGTGTTTACAGTTGGAAGAAAAATTCTTTATGCAGAATCTTGAACTTTTCTTTTGTTGTACTAGGAATCAAACTCAGGGGAGCTTTACCTCTAAGCTACATCCTCAGTCCTTTTTATTTTGAGGAAGGGTGTAAGTTGATGAGGGTCTCCCTAAATTGCTGAGGCTGGCCTTGAACTTGTGATCCTCCTGTTTCAAAATCCTAAGTCACTGGGATTGCAGGTTTGCTCCACCTTGCTTGTCCTAGAATCTTGAACTCCTTAGAAAGATGCTCTTAAAATCAAATGGCTTTCCACCTCCCAACCCCAGCAATCTGTTTTTTCTACTGTGTGGCAGACTTTGAACTCCTGCTTAACAGCCATTTTTCTTTCTCCCAGCAGTGTTCTGATTTAGTTCAGGATGGCCTTTTCCCCAGCTCCAGGAAGAAATCCTAACAGGTCTATTCCAATTTTAGTGGGCCAGTTCTCCTTGCAGGGGTTTTGTTTAGGGCTGGATGTGTGACTTCTTTCAGACCAGGGATTAGTAAGAGATCTGCTTGCTTGGGGCGGGGGGCGGGTCAGGGAAGAATTCCTCACCCTGACCCATATTTTTTTTTTTGGAGCATTATAATTATAATGGTGAAATTCATTATATATCAGGCTGGGGTTGTGGCTCAGTGGTGGAGCGCTTGCCTAGCATGTGTGAGGCACTGGGTTCAATTCTCAGCACTGCATGTAAATAAATGAATAAAATAGAGGTCCATCAACATCTAAAACAAAAAAAAAATTCATTATATATCTATACATGCACATAATATAACAAAATAATTTGGCAAGGATTCCTTATTGTTAAGGAGGCATTGAAGAGATGCACATCCTTCTCTGGATGTTGTGAGGTCTGGATAGGAAACCTGGAACTGCTGTGCCCATCTTTCTCCCAGTTGATGACAAGGCCAAATCCCAGAGAAGGACAAAGCAAAGAATGCCCAAGAAGACTACTGATGTGAAATGAGGAGTGTCCTTATGGTTTAAACAGGATCATCTGGGGGTTTTTTTGCAGCCAAATACATCCTAACTACCATCTCTCACTTATTTATTTTTATGTGGTGCTGAGGATTGAACCCAGGGTCTCGAACGTGCGAGGCGAGCGCTCTACCACTGAGCTACAACCCAGTCCCTGGGATGGAATTTTTTTTTTTTTAGAATTTTTAATATTTATTTTTTAGTTTTCGGCGGACACAACATCTTTGTATGTGGTGCTGAGGATCGAACCCAGGCCGCACGCATGCCAGGCGAGCGCACTACCGCTTGAGCCACATCCTCAGCCCCCTTAACTACCATCTCTCAACAGGGCGTGGTACCAAGATATATTTCTTGGGTTTTGATCCTGAGACAGTGACTTAAGAAGAGCTGGGGGTAGGCTTCATCTGTTTCTCTGTCCTTTGTGCCTGGCCATTTTCATCTGTAGGCCTCTGAAATATATATATATATATATTTTAGTTTTTGACAGACCTTTATTTTATTTGTTTATATGTGGTGCTGAGAATCGAACCCAGTGATTCACACATGGTAGGCGAGCACTCTACCACTGAGCCACAACCCCACCCTTAAAACTATTTTTTAAATTAATTTTTTAATTTTTCCTAATTAGTTACACATGACAATCATTTATGTACTTTGATATACATAAATGAAATATAATTTCTCATTTTTCTGATTGTACATGTTGCAGAATCACATCGGTCATGCACGCAGTACACTTGAACTACTAATCAGTCTTCCCAACTGAAGGGGCCAGTATTATGGTACTAGACTCAATATATGCAAAACAGGGCTCATTTTTCTCCCACACTCTCCTCCCTTACCCCTGCTATTACTGGGTATTGTAGGATTGAACCCAGGGCTACTCTACCTCTGAGCTCCACCCCCAGCCGTTTTAATTTTTATTTTTGAGAGAGGGTCTCACTAAGTTGCCTAGGCTAGCCTCAGATTTGGGATCCCCCTGCTCAGCCTCACAAGTCGTTGGGATTACAAGCACATGCCCGCCACACCTGGCTTCTGACACTCTTATACATTAAATAAAAGGCAATACCACACTCTCTTCCCCTTTTCCCACACCTAACCCAGTACCCAGACCTGTAGGTTTCCTCCCCACACTAGATCTCAAATGTGACCATTTGTCACCCTTACCACTGTTAACACTGTGGTTCATTTTGGGATCGTCCATCATCTAGGTTACCTCAAGAGCTCTCTAGTAGGTCCTGTAGGCTCTGTTCTTATTCTTAATATCTGTCAAGTCCACTCTCCACACAGTCTTTAAAATGTGGTCGGGGGTTGGAGTGTAGCTCAGTGGTAGAACACATGCTTATCATGTGCAAAGCCCTAGGTTCAATCCCCAGCACTGTAAGTAAATAAACAAACATCCATCTTACCTGAGTAATTTTTCATTGCACTTAGAATGAAATCTAAATTTCTACTTTAAATGTGTGAGTTGCATCTCAGTGGGAGCAGGTGATAGATGAATTATATCTTAATATGGCTGGTGTCAACACACAATCAAGACTCTTCCCTGTGGCTGCATATCTGGCCCCTGCCCACCTTTGAATCTATCTAATATCACTCATTTCACTCACTCTCCCCGCAGCCAGACAGGTCATCTGTTTTACAAACATCCTAAGATTGTCTCCCCCCAGGATCTTTTTTTTTTTTTTTTTAATATTTTTTTAGTTGTAGTTAGACACAACACCTTTATTTCACTTGGATCGAGCCCAGGGTCTCACACGTGTGAGATGAGTGCTTGCTGAGCCACAGCCCCAGACCATTCCCCCAGGATCTTTGCAAATGTTCTTCCCTTTCCTGGAATGCTGCCCCCAGCTTTCCCCATGGCTTGTCCTCATTCAACAGTCTACCTGGGACGACATCACTTCTTACCTCAAGTAGCCCTCTTGTCAGTTGTCCTTTGATTTTTTTCATAGCACCTAGATATCCCAAATTACTAGCTTGCTTGGTTCTGTTTCTGCTATCCTGTCTCACCAGCTTATGACAACAAGAATTTATTGTTTAACAATAGTGACGTTTAGATGAACAAATCATTCAATGAAGAAATGACTTGTATCAATCAGTTGAGCCTTTCTGTTGGGCTTTTAAGTTTCTTGATGTTTTTAATGGAAAACAAAATTTGTATTCATATCCACTTTGTAAATAAAAATGATTTGCTGCATCTATATGGGCCTTGGCTTTATTATCTATAAATTGGGGATGGAAGTTAACTATGATCTCTAAGATTTTTTTTATTTCTGAAGTTTTTAGAGACCCTCTCAAGTTTGTTGTTGTTGTTGTTGTTTTAAATATTTTTAGTTGTGGGCTGGGGCTGGGGCTCAGTGTTAGTGTGCTTGCCCGGCTTGCGTGAGGCACTGGGTTTGATTCTCAGCATCACATACAAATAAATAAAATAAAAGGTCCATCAACAACTAAAAATATTTTTAAAATATATTTTTAGTTGTAGATGGACACCTTTATTTATCTTTTTTATGTGGCGCTGAGGCACGAACCCAGTGCCTCCACTACATGCTAAGCCCCAGCCCCCCCCCTTTTTTTTTTAAGATAGGGTCTCATCAAGTTGCCCAGGCTGGCCTCAAATTTGTGATTCTCCTGCCTTGTTATTGTCATTTGAATGAGTGCATAGTAGCTAACTGAGGAAGAAATCCCAAAACTTTGTCCTCAGTGCCACTCATCAGGCCCTTACAGAAGTTCAATGGCATCCTGCACTCTTTTTCCCACCAGCCAGCCTGGCACTATGTCCTCAAAAATCTCTGGATATTCCCCTGGGTACAGGCCCCACTGTACTGCCTTTGTCAGGTTAGCATCAGCCTTTCCTGGACCATTGCACCAACTTCCTGTCTGTACCCAGGCCTACCCATCTGCCCTCCACCCCTGCACGCCAACCCTGGGTGCCCTTCAAACAGTGCTGACCACACACGTGTCATTCAGCTGTGAAAGAAGGTATCCAAATTGGAAATACTGTGAACATCACAAAAGCTGCTCAATCAAAGGCATTTGAGAGGTGGCCTAGGTGGCTTAGCCATGCATGGCTGCCTTAGAGGCGGCCACACTCTCAGGTTCAGTAAGTCACAAGAATGACTCAGAATGCAGGTAGTGCTACACTTGGGATTCGTTTCATTGGATACAAATTAAGACCTGCCAAGTAATAACAGGCAAAGGCACAGGGCAAATTCTGGGAGAGTCAAAGGCAGAGTTCCAGGACACTGTCCCTGTGAACTCCAGGTACTTCACCCTCCTGGTACATCGGTGCATTCACACCTGTTGGTCTCCAGCATCCTGAATTTTTATTGGGGTTTCATGATTTAGGCATGGGTGATTAATAAATCACTGGTCATGTGAATCATTTCAATCTCCAGGTCCACAGGCTCCAAATTCCAATCCACAAATCACCAGGTTCTTTCTGGTGCTCGCCCCATACTGAAGCTACATACGGGCTGCCATGAATACTCATTAGCAAAAACTTCAGTATAACCAAAGGGATTCTTCATAAATTGTTTCTATCACTTAGGAAATTGTGCATGTTTTAGCAGCTCTGCTAGGAACCTGGGACAAAGAATAAAATTCTTATTTTTTCAGTACTGGGGATTGAACCGAGGGGCACTTCACTATTGAACTACAACCCTAGCCCCCACCTTTTTCCCTTTTTTTTTTTTTTCTTATTTTGTGTGTGTGTGTGTGTGGTGCTGGGGATTGAATCCAGGGCCTTGTGCATGTGAGGCAGGCACGCTACCAACTCAGCTATATCCCCAGCACTATTTTTTATTTTGAAATAGGTCCTTACTAAGTTGCCCAGGCTGGTCTTGAACTTGTGATCATCCTGCCTCAGCCACCCAAGTTGCTGGGATTACAGGTGTGTCCCACCATACCCAGTGACAAATTATTATCCAAGAGATGGTCTTAAGGTGACTAAAAGCTGAGCTGATGATTGCCCTATTTCTTTTGGTGAAGCCATCAGGAAAGCTATGATCTTTTCCCTTGAGCTTGTAGAACAAAGCTTAGAGCTGCTGTGGGCCATCTTGCTATCAAGGAGAATACCTGTCTGAGAATAAAGGCAGCCCAGAGGAAAGCAGAGCTAAAAGAGCCAGAGGCCAAGTTCAAAATGACATTGTTAGAACCCCTGGATCCAGCCATGCCTGAAGTCATTACTTCTTATTTAATTCTTTTAACTGACAAACTACCCCCTCTTCATGTTTAAACTAGCTTGAATTGGGGTTTATATCATTTGTGGTACCCTGAGTATTAACCTATTCCTGAGGAAGAAATGTTTCTCCCTTTCATATTAATACCTTGGTTTAACTTGGCCCAAGATGCCATCCTGTCCCATCTTCCCCAAAACTCCTTCCTTCAATGGCCATTCTGTCTACTAGCTTCCTTCCCCTTAGACTTCCAAGACTCCCTCAGCAAACCTTCCCACCTTTGGGGGTGGTAGTAGTGGTGCTGGGGGTTGAACCCAGTGCATGCCAGACAAGCACTCTACCACTGAGTTACCCCGCCAGCCCCTTCCTACCTTCTCAAACTCCAACCTTCCATTTCTGACCTTCCCTTTTCAGCACACCTGTAAAACAGCTCTCCCCATTCCTCCTTCCACTTCATTCACTCCTTAAAGCACTAACACTTGGCATCTGCTACCACCACCTCCCTAAAATTACTTTCCCCAAGGTCACTTAGCAATCTCTCCGTATCAACATCTTCTGTAAGAGACAGTGGCAGTACGTAGCACCACTCCCATGGATCCTTTCATGTCCTGTATGCGCTTGTGCATTTGCCCATTTCCCTCTCACACGTCCTGTATTACCACAGTGCCCACCTTTGGCATATGGCTTCTCTTCCAACAGTTAGAACTCCCGCCTTTTTATAATTTATTAATTCATTATTCCTCATGCTGCTGGAGGGCTTTGCCTTGACAGAAGTGCCTGGGACTCGACTTCTGAGGGATGTGAAAGTACAAAAGGGCCAAATCCCTTGTTTCTGGACAAATCTGAGGCATAACTTACTTCCAGGGCTCCCTTGTGGCTCTAACTGAAGTACTCTCTGCCCAATAATCATGTGCTTGCTTGGCTTCCTTTTTCTCCTCCTGCTCCCTTACTGGTTTCTCTTGGTAGCATTTTTTTTTTTTTTTTTTTTTTGGTGGGATGGCAATCAGATTGAACTCTGGGCCTCAAGTATGCTATCCACATGCTCTATTAGTGGGCTACACCCCAAGCTGAGGTAGCTTTGTTGCATTTTGATATTGGGGATTGAATCCAAGGGTACTTTACCCCTGAGCCACATCCCCAGTCCTTTCTATTTTTTATTTTGAGATAGGGTTTTGTTAAAATGTAGAGGCCACCTGAGCCTCCAGAATCTCTGGGATTACAGGGATGTATGTGCCACCATGCCCAGCTCCAGGTAGCACTTTCTTAATAAATAATTTGAATACATTTGAACACAAACCCTCATCTCAGAACACTTCTGGGAAATGATTCAAAACATCATCTCAACACTTTCTATTTCTCTGCCTGTTTAGGGTTGTTTCCCAGAACGAGGTCTCTTCTCTACATATATTACCTGGACTGTCTCATTCATGTCCATGGCTTCAACCGTTGTTCCTCATGTCTGATCACCAAACTGCTTTGTACAGTTCAGACTGTAAATTCATCTCTGCTGGACAGCTCCACCTAGCTCTTCAAGAACACCTCCTGATGCATCTAATACAGTAGACACTCATTACATGTGACTATTTTAAAAAATTAAAACTTAAGTTCCTTAGTCATCCTTGCCACATTTCAAGTGCTTAATAGCCATATGTGGTCATGGCTGCAATACAAAATGTTAATGTAGAATATTTCAGTAATCTCAAGGTTTTATTGGGGGCTGGGAATGTAGGTCAGCAGTAGAGTGCTTGCCTCACATGTGTGAGGCCCTGGGTTCAATTCCCAGCATACACACACACACACTTTCCTGGGCAGTTTAGACACAACACTTCCAAACCTAACTCATCAACAGCCCTTTGCCCTTCTGTATTCCTCAGCTGTCTCTCCCCCGGGTGGATGGCCCAACTACAGAAGGTGTATAAAGATATGCAGGGGTAGATCACAGATAGAGATTCCCTCCCATTGGCATCTCTCTCTGAAGCAGGGTAGACAAAGATGATGATGAAGAACCTAACAAAGGCCGTCTCTGACATGATGATAGCTTGGTTAGAGCCAGCAGATTGGCTAGGTCAGAAATTACTTTTTCACAGTAAGTTCTTCCAGCCCCATCTGGCTGCCCTCAGTCTTATGCGAGTCAGAGCATTTATCTCCATCTCTTGGGTTACTTACCTCTGTGTTCCAGGATGGGCACTTGATCCAATCAGTTAGTTCTGGAAATTTTATCGGAAATCTCAGGGGGCAAAAAAAAAAGTGTTCTCCTTCTACCAAGTTGCTAAGCTGTTGGGAATTACGTCTGGAGATAGGGAAAGCCATCTTGCCACCAAGAGAGGATACCCTGCCTGAGGGTGAATCTAAATGCATGGGAAAACTGAACTAGGGATGGTGAGCCACAGGTTCCTCATATATTTTGGCCCCTGCATTCAGCCGATCCTGGCCCACTCTGGACTTTTCAATTATTTGAGCCATAGATTTTATACCTCCTGATGTCCTCAAACACACCTCATTATTTCTGGGCCCCGTTGTTTTTTTTTTTCGCCTGGGACGTAATCTCCTGGACCACCTGCCCCTTTCCTCACAGAAGCAGCCAAATTAAGTTAGGGATCCGCCTCCTCGCGGGGCCTCCCCAAGGTCACCTGCTTCTTCCCTCGCCCAGCTCCTTGGGGGCGATGTCCACGTCCCTCAGCTGCAGGGCCAGGCGCTCTAGGCTGCGGCGGGACCTTCTGAGAGCCTTGGCATCTCTCTGGTTTCCAGGACTCGGCGGCTACTCTAGCATTCAGCAGTGACTCGAGACTCTATCCCCTAAGGTGGCTTCTCTATGGTTGACTTTTCTCCTTTGTCCGGAATTTCCTCCGAGAGGACGCTCTGGTGGAACCCAAGCCCTCCCCACAGCTGCCTCTGCGGCCCCTTTTAGATGCAACCGGAGAAGTCCCTACAACCCTACGAGAATCACCCGCTTTTCGCTCCCGAGGGGTCCGCACTGAGTAGGAGGATGGCGGAAGTGAGTAAGAAGCTGCCCTTCCCTCTCGCCGCTCTTCTCTATGGTCGCTTCCTTCGGCGACGGGAAAAGGGGTCCTGGCGCCTGCGCAGCACCGGGCTGGGCTCTCGTCGCGGAGCGGGGAGGGGGGGGCGCAGGGAGCGGGAGCCGCCGCCACCGCCGGAGCTAACCGCGGGGACCGAGATGCAGGTAGGACCGGAACCGGAACCCCCCCTTCAAGTGCCTCTTCCCTCTCCGCGACCCGACCCCGGAGCCTGAGAAGAGCCCAGGGTGGGGGTGGGCGTGGGGCCCCGGGGGCAGGAGGGGCACTTTGCCCCGGGGAATGCAGCAGACTGGGCTGGTCCCCAGGAGACTGCGGCCCGGGGGAATGCGCGTGAGGGGGTGTCCAGCGAGTCGGGTCGGGTCGGAGTGGATTGACCACGGGGCCCGGAGGGTCCGAGCCGGGAGCGGAGCCTGCACCCTCCACCACCCGCCCTTCGGGAAATGTCAGAACTGAGCCAAGAGGCAGGTGCACCGGGAAAATGTTTCTGAGTCCTGCTTGGCAGAAGAGAAACTGAGCCACCAGCTCAGGAGCCACAGGGTCAGCAGGCCTGAAAGGGGGCTGGTTCTGCCTGGTGCAGAGGACTGGGTGGGCCTGTAGGAGCCGAGGTGGCCTCTGGCTGGGGACCCGTCTCTGCTTTGTCTGCACCTCTTGGCTCGGTTCCCCTGTGCTCCATGACTCCCGCATCTCCTGGCCGCTTCTCGTGGGTTTGGAGTAGTCCCTGTTTTGGGGGCCATCTGAGTATGTAAGGCCTAGGCCATAGAGGAAGGGGAGGGTCGCAGACTTGCAGCCTGGCTGTGGATTTGAGCAGGAGTGTGGGGTTGCTGATGGATCAGGGACACTTTTCCTGAGCTGCCTTGGCCCAGACCTGGGGCCAGTCATTTCCAGTGTGGCATGGGGGAGGAGCACTAACCAAAGATCCAAGGGTTGTAAATTCGTCACCAGCTCTGCCACTTTGTAGTGGTGAGACTTTTGAGAAGCCTCTTCCTTTCTCCAATTTCTCTTTTAAAAACTTGGAACCCCAGTACTCTCCCTCATAAAGATAGCAGTAATGGCAGTCATTTCTCACGTGCTTATTTTGTGTCAAGCACTGACATGTTCCATTCCGTTTTCCGAAGGACTGTAGGGAGTAGAGATCATTAGCTGTTTCACAGCTCAGAGAGGATGTGTAATCTGTTTACTCCAGAACCCTGGCCTTAACCATTAGGCTAACCAGCCTTCATGGAACACTCCCCTGGAAGAGAAAAGGGAGGCAGATCCTAGGACCCAGTGCTCTGTGATGTTTTGTTTTGTGGCCAGCAAAGACTTACCCTGACACAACCCACCATCTCTTCCTCTGGTGGTGGTGCTGCTGCTGTGCCCCTAGACTGATGGGGAGCTCAAGTGGGTGCCAGCCATGCCAAGTCTCCTTCATGCAGTGCTTAGGTGCTGGGCTCTGGAGTCAACTTCCAAAACAATTGTTTGAATTCATTGTCCATCAATGGTTCTGAACGTGTGAACTCCCTCCTCAGAGCTGGACCCTAGGGTGCAGGAGGCAGGATCTCTAAGCTCTAAGCACCCCATTGGCCCCCTGAGAGCTGGGGTAGTAAGGAGCTGTCCCTGAGGCTGGTCCAGCCAGTCTCTGGGGACAAGGACTATACAGTGGGAAAACAGTAGACTCCGAGTTCTGAAAGTTATCTGAGCTTCGGTTTCCTCATCTGTTGGAGAGGTTATTAAATTCTCTCACAGGGAAAGGTAAGATGACCCCATGGAAACCTCTCGTATGGCTCACGAGGACTGTGCGGTAGATGGTGGAGGATCCATCTTAGAGAAGGGATAATGGTGATGGGGAAAGTCTTTTGTGGAGGAAGGTGCTCCATGGTCCTCTTGCTCCTGGATCCCACACAGGGAGAATGGCCTGAAAGGCAGCAGGAGAGATTCAGGCTAGACACCGGGAAGCCACTACCCTGGGGCATGGGGAGCATGCAAATCTGGGAGAGGAAAGGGAGGCAGTTTGGTTCTCTCCACCTTTGCCCTCTGAGGAGTCTGAACCAGAGTAGGGAGTCCCTGGCTTGGGGTGGGACATGCCCTCCAGTCCCACCTCTGCAGTGACTCCATGTATGTACCTCTCTCTTCTCCTGCAGCTGCTGCCGCTCACCCCGTGTCTTCTGGCCGCTTCCCTCTTTGTTGCCCCTCCCCACAGGCTCCCCCTCTCCACCTCCTGGGGCCCATCATGAATGGTGCCCCCTCCCCAGAGGATGGGGCCTCCCCCTCCCCTCCCCCCCTGCCACCACCCCCTCCCCCAAGTTGGCGGGAGTTCTGTGAGTCCCACGCCCGGGCTGCAGCCCTGGATTTTGCCCGCCGTTTTCGCCTCTACCTGGCCTCCCACCCCCAGTACGCGGGGCCTGGGGCGGAGGCTGCCTTCTCTCGCCGCTTCGCTGAGCTCTTCCTGCAGCACTTTGAAGCTGAGGTGGCCCGGGCCTCGGGCTCCCTCTCACCACCAGTTATAGCTCCCCTGAGTCCCGGTGTGGAGATCCCTCCGCCACATGACTTGTCCCTCGAGAGCTGCAGGGTGGGCGGGCCCCTGGCTGTGCTGGGTCCCTCTCGATCATCCGAGGACCTGGCCGGCCCCCTCCCCTCCTCAGTCTCTTCCTCTTCTACGACCTCCTCGAAGCCGAAGCTCAAGAAACGCTTCTCCCTCCGCTCAGTCGGTCGCTCGGTCCGAGGTTCTGTCCGTGGCATCCTGCAGTGGCGGGGAACTGTTGACCCTCCCTCCCCAGCGAGTCCCCTGGAGACCTCATCAGGCCCCCCAGTCCTGGGTGGAAACAGCAACTCCAACTCCTCTGGTGGGGCTGGGACTGTTGGTCGGGGACTGGTTAGTGATGGCACGTCCCCTGGGGAAAGATGGACTCACCGATTTGAGAGGCTGAGACTAAGTCGGGGAGGGGGGACCTTGAAGGATGGAGCAGGGGTGGTGCAGAGGGAAGAGCTGCTGAGTTTCATGGGGGCCGAAGAGGCGGCCCCTGACCCGGCGGGAGCAGGCCGGGGAGGAGGGGCAGCTGGGCCTACCTCAGGGGGAGGAGGGCAGCCCCAGTGGCAGAAGTGTCGCTTATTGCTTCGGAGTGAAGGCGAAGGAGGAGGAGGAAGTCGCCTGGAGTTCTTTGTACCACCCAAGGTGAGGCAGGAGGAGGGTGGGCCCCTGGGAGCACTGATGGAGCAGCCAGAGTCTTTACTCAGCCGTGCACATAAGCCCAGGCTCTGCCGGCCCACAATCATGGCTTCACGACTGTTTTCAAAGTGGGCTTGAGTCTGATAGTAGCTGTGGGCAGGACTGAGACAGCAGTGTTCCTGCCTTTTGCCCAACTGCCTTAGAAAGGCCTGAGGAAGGAAAGATGCATGTCTGGAGGGAGGGGAGAGTGGGCCTCTGCACACTGGAAGGCTGGATCTCATTCCCTCTCACTTAGGCCTCTAGGCCCCGGCTCAGCATTCCCTGCTCTACTATCACGGATGTTCGGACAACCACAGCCCTGGAGATGCCTGACCGGGAAAACACGTTTGTGGTCAAGGTAGGAGCTCCGAGCCTTCCACCCCACCTCTCTGCAGTGCTTATGCCGGGAGAAAGCTCTCAGCACTTTTGAGCAAGCATCGTTGTCTGCGAGAGGTATTTCTATGTCAGGTGCCTCAGGAGTGTGACTGCAGGACTGTGGCTTCCCTAGGAGATGTTAGAGTGGAAGATGTTTTCATTAGGGGTGGATGTGGCCTTGGGACTACGTCCCTGGCCCCTGCCCAGGCTGAGGTCCTCCTCTTGACCCCACAGGTGGAAGGCCCCTCAGAGTACATCCTGGAGACAACTGATGCTCTCCATGTGAAGGCCTGGGTGTCTGACATTCAAGAATGCCTGAGCCCAGGGTGAGGACCTGCCTCTGTCACTGAGGAGACCTGGGGGTGGGGGTGGGGAGCAGCCTTATGCCTCTCTGCTGGTGACTTTCTCTCCAACACCATTTTTCCTGTTTCTGCAGACCCTGCCCTGCTACCAGTCCCCGCCCCATGACCCTCCCTCTGGCTCCTGGGACCTCCTTCCTCACAAAAGAGAACACAGATGGCCTGGAGCTGCCCTGCCTGAACCATTCAGAGAGTCTGCCCAGCCAGGATCTGCTTCTGGGACCCAGTGAGAGCAATGATCGCCTTTCGCAAGGTAAGGTGGGGCCTTCAGACCTGGGAGCCTCGGAGCTTCCGTGCAAGGCTCCTGCTGTCAGGCCCCACACCCTCTTTCCAGGTTCTCCTGGGCACCCCATCCTCTCCCCCAGCTGCCCCACCAATTGCTTGTCTCTTGTCTCCAAACACGCCAAGCACTCTTAAGCCACAGCTTGCCGTTTAGCACCACCACTGTTACCATCCCACACAGGCCCCAAGGAAACTCCCTGTCAACTTCTGTGCCCAGCCTTGTCACTTTTTCCCTAAGTCTCCCACAGGCCACTACTCTTACTGGAGATAATGGTTCTCTTCTCCAAGCTTCCAAAACACTTTGTAGGCGTTTCTGTTTTGTTCTCACTCTGTATATGTTGAGGTCGCCAAATTTTCTTTTATCTCTGTATCTTTTGGCTTGACCAAACACAAAGACACGTGTCTGCCTAGCCCGGCTCGCCTTTCTAGATTTGACTTCCACTCTACCCTTTTCTTCTGGCCGCTGTTCTGGGTTTCAATGTGACAGTACCTAGCACACGGCTCTATTCAGCAAATGAACAAAGAAATCATAGACTCTTGGAGCTAGAATGGATTCACACAGCATCAGAACTCAAGTAGCGGAGATCAGAGAGAGGGAGTGGCTTTTCTGAGGTCACCTGAGAGTCACTGATAAAGATGGGCTACATCATCTTCATTCCTGATCCCTAGCCCTCCTCGCCACACCTGCCTGGCTTCTCAGCATGGCCCAGGCCTGCCACTCGGCAGACATTCAGGCAGGCCCTAGTCCATACAGGGCCCTGTGCTAGCCCTGGGGCAGGATGGAAGGGGCAACTCAGATGTCTGAGATGAGCTCTTTACCCTCCATGGGTTGGCACAACATCACTCCTGAGAAAAAGCAGGTCCCAAAACAGTGTCTGCTTAGTATCCTCTGAACAGCACAAGCAGGAAGTCCTTAGGAGCTCAGGAGGAAGAGCACAGGGAAAGTGGAGTAGACGGAGTGCTACACAGAGAAGGTGAGACAAGAGAACATGACTCGGAGCAGGTGAAGGCCAGTGCAGAGATCTGAGGTGGGGAGGGCTCAGGATACTTCGAAAAATTGGATAGGCTGAAGTGAAAGCCACATGGATGCAAATTAAGGTAAAGATGAAGTAGGCGGAGTCTTAATTTTTGCTGAGATTCTGGAGAGTGAACTCTAGGGTGCTCTACCACTGAGCTACACCCCCAGCCCTTTGTATTTTGAGACAGAGTCTCACTAAGTTGCCTTGGCTCACCTCAAATGTGCAATCCTCCTGCCTCAGCCTCACAAGTGCTGGGATTACAGGCATGTGGCACCACACCAGCTAGAAGGAGGCTTTTTGATGCCTCTGAGAGTTGGGGACTTTGTCCTATATTCCAAAAAAAGGACTCCTTTTTTATGTGAGAATTTTTGAGAGAGTCTATCCCCACACCTCTGCAGCAATTTTTCCGCTATTGATTCAGAAAAGCTATAGGCACATTTGGATTCTAGGACCTTCTTACAACAACTGCAGTCCCTCGACAGTGCAGAAAGTGGAAGTCAGGAGCCATCAGTTAGAAATCAGCAGGGGTCACTGCCTCAGAGGGGTCTGGGTAGATTGCTAGTGGGGAACGGGCAGGAGGCCAGGCCTGCAGAACAGACTCTTCTCCGGTTCTCAACTTTGCCCTCCTATTTTTTTTCAGGGGCATATGGGGGCCTCTCAGACCGGCCCTCAGCATCCATCTCCCCTAGTTCGGCCTCCATTGCTGCCTCCCATTTTGACTCCATGGAACTGCTTCCCCCAGAGCTGCCCCCCCGCATCCCCATTGAGGAGGGCCCCCCTGCAGGAACAGTTCATCCCCTCTCAACTCCCTACCCTCCCTTGGACACTCCGGAAACAGCCACAGGTACCAGAGGGGTGCATGGGTGTCTCTCCAGGCCACTTGCCTGCCTTCCTGACGTTCCTGTCGTGGGATTCCAAGGGATGTGACCCTGGAGGAAGGAGTGGCACATGAGGGGAGGAGGCACTACAAGCGGCGGGCAAGGCTTTTTCCTCCCAGGATGGGGAAGCTTCCCTAACACCCAGGTTTCCCTCCTCTCTCCTCCCTGAAGGGTCCTTCCTGTTCCAGGGGGAGTCAGAGGGAGGTGAGGGGGACCAGCCCCTCTCAGGATATCCTTGGTTCCACGGGATGCTCTCTCGACTCAAGGCCGCCCAGCTAGTGCTGGAAGGAGGCACCGGCTCCCACGGTGTCTTCCTGGTACGTCAGAGCGAAACGAGGCGGGGTGAATATGTCCTCACTTTCAACTTCCAGGGCAAGGCCAAGGTGAGCGCCCCTGAGGCACAGGCTCTGTTCTATGCAGACTGGGGAGCTTGGGGGACACCGCTGTCCAGGGGAGGAGGGTTTTGTGGCTGCAGGGGCCTCGGCTCCCACCTCACTTGCTCATCCGGCCCTCAGCACCTGCGCTTGTCACTGAACGAGGAGGGCCAGTGCCGGGTCCAGCATCTGTGGTTCCAGTCCATTTTCGACATGCTCGAGCACTTCCGGGTGCACCCCATCCCTCTGGAGTCTGGAGGCTCCAGTGATGTTGTCCTTGTCAGCTATGTGCCCTCCCAGCGGCAGCAGGGTGAGCAGAGCAGGTCTGCAGGGGAGGAGGTGCCCGTGCACCCAAGAAGTGAGGTGTGTGTGCCAGAAAGCCGGGGCGGGGGGATGTGAGGAGAGGCTGTTGGGGAGACAGGGCAGCAGAGGCTCCTTGCCAGGGGTCTGGAAGGGACGGAGGAAGGCTGCTAGGGTGTAGGAAGGAGGGCTCCTCGCCAGGGCCGGGCGGCAGCGGAGAGCTGGGCTGGTGCATCCCCATTCCATCGGACTCCTCCGTTCCATCGTCCGTCTGTCTCCTGGTCCATCCTCCCAGCCCTGTCTTTGCCCCTCGTCACTACCTTGCCTTGGGCCTGCCCTCCTGGGGGATGCTTGGTCTGATCCCCCTCCCTCCTCCCTTGATGTCTGATGTCCCTGTCTGATCTCTCCCTCTCCCCCACCCCAATGTCCCATCTGTCCCCACGTTGCCCCTCCCCCCCAGGCCGGGAGCAGGCTGGGAGCCATGCAGGGGTGTGCGAGGGAGATCGATGCTACCCCGATGCCTCCTCCACCCTCATGCCCTTCGGAGCGAGTGACTGTGTGTAAGTGTGGTCCTCCTCTCACCTCCGCCCATGATCCATCTTCCATGGGGGGTGCTCAGGAGATGGGCTGGGGGGAGATAGCACATGGCTCCTGGGGAGATGAACGAGGGGCAGGTCCTGCAGGAGCCATCAGTCTGTCTTCTTACCATTCCTATCCAGAACCGAACACCTCCCATGACCTACCCCAGCCCCCTGAACCCCCTTCATGGACAGATTCCCCATATCCTGGGGCAGAAGAGGCGTCGGGGGCGCCAGAAGTGGCGGCAGCAGCAGCCCCAGCAGCCAAAGAGAGGCAAGAGAAAGAGAAAACGGGCAGTGGAGGGGTCCAGGAAGAGCTGGTCCCCGTGGTTGAGCTGGTCCCCGTGGTCGAATTGGAAGAGGCCATAGCACCAGGCATGGAGGCCCAGGGTGGTGCTGGCTCTGGTGGGGACATTGGGGTGACCCCAATTGTGCAGCTCCAGCAGTTACCACTAGGGGGCAACGGAGAAGAAGGGGGTCATCCCAGAGCCATTAACAACCAGTACTCCTTGGTGTGAGACACCCCACCCCACCCTCTCTCCACTCTTCTTGCTCTTCAGTCCTCGGGTCGTGAGGTGGGCTGGGTAGGGACATAGAGGAGACTTGGGAGTCCCCTTCCCACAGGCTTCCTGACCTTGTCAGTCAAGGGCATACGTGCTGGTACAAGCAGAGGTTCGAGAGCCCTGTCAACTCCCTAGTTCGTACACTACAGGCGCCCATCCCCTAGGCAGGGGATTTGGGCTCCATTACCTCCCTGAGGGGCTCTTATGGTCAGCCCCATCCCTGGGGGCCATTTCCCCATCAACTACCCCCCAGCCCAAGCAAGGGTGATGGGGGGAAGGGCTGTCAGTTATATTAAGGTGGTTGTTGTTGTTGTTTTAAACAAAATGGAGAAGCATAAATAAATAAAAGGGTTTATCTCAGTTCCACCGTGATGGCTGTGGCTAGTGTTTGTAGCGGGGAGCAGGACAGGTGAGTCGGGAAGGCCACTCACTGTTGTGAGCTCCAGAGCTGGGAGGCTGGAGAGCCAGGGTCCCTGTGGCTCCCCACCTGTCTGACTTGGCGAGTGCTAAGCTCAGCAGTGCTTCTTGGGGTCTCCAATAAGGTGTCCTAATGGGACAGGACTTTGGTGATTGTTAAAGGCCCTTCCTGCCTGAAGAGAAAGCAGGCAGAGAGCTAATGGGCAGAGGGACACGGGCAAGCTGAATGGCGGAGCACTGGCTTCCAGCTCTGGCTCTTTTCTCATTTGCTGTGTGCCCTGGGGGCCAGGTATTCCTGCTCTGGGCCCTGGTGTCCTTAACCAAGATGAGGTTTCATCTCAGTCATGCTGCTGAAGTGATTTGTTTGGTCTGGATAATGTTTCCATTTGAGTGTCACAAACACGTTCAGATTACTGGCTTCCCTTGAAAGTCAGAAGATCCAGTCGAGTGGGTCCAGACTCCACATCTGCCACATCCCTACCAGCTCGTTGCCTGCACCTACAGGCCTGGCCTGAGGGCATGGAGCTAACAAGGCCTCTCTTCTTGCAGTGCCCCCATTTTTAAACTCAGCTTTCTGAATTGATCTTCTGTGCTACAGCTGTACCCTCCGACAGAGGGCACCCCTGGACTTTGCAATGCTGGAGTGATGGGTGCCAACAAGGGGACACTCAGGTTCTGGAGAATCCCACCTCTGTGCTCAGCCCTCTCCCTGTCTCCTACCATGTCTCTCACTCCCACCCCAGCACCACCTCTCAGCCCCCAGACTCTGCCCCATCTCCAGGAGGCCCTACCCATGCTCATGACCTTGCTATTCTGGGCCTTGTGTCCTGTGGGAGATGGACAGGAGACAGCTGGGCACACAGGCCACCCAGGCTGGGGACTGGCTGGGGGAAGCCTGCTGGCTTTCCCTGTTTTGTCTCATCCCTGGGGCTCCCCCAAAACTTGGCCTCAGGAGACAGGATAGAATTGGCTATCAAAGGGTGGGGAAGTGCTTTGGAGACCTGGGTGCTATGTTCTCAAAGCAAGATGGCTGGTGGCACCCCTGGGGTAGGCAGGGCCTGATCTCCTCCTAATTTAGCGGCAACTGGTCCTCTGAGGCTCCCCTTCCCCCAAAACCCTGCTAGCCTTCAGGGACTTGCCTTCCAGAGATGAAGCAGGGATGGGCGCAGAGATACCTACCCACTCTGCAGACAAGCACATCTCAGCTGAGGGGCCTCAGACAACTTCCCTCTAAGCCTTTCTTTATAAACTGAAGTTCAGAACCTGTCGGGGATGGGCAGCTCAGCCCTCAAGCAGGAGGAAGAACACCTTCAACCCTGGGCGTAGAGACCACCGTCGAGAGTCTGAGAGAGCCCTTTATTGCCCATTCTCCCCATCCCAGTCCCCACCGTAGCCATGGCTCCCTGGTGGAAAGCCTCCTGCAGCTCCTGGCTGCTGGCTTTCCCTCTCTGGTTTCATTCTGCCCCTCTGGGAAGCTGGAGGAGACAGAAACAAATAACCTCAAAGGGCCCTGTTGGCAGGAGCGGCCTGTAAAGCCTGCCTCTTTCCCTGTCTCATGCTTGACTCCCCTGAAGCTACCCATCTCCTGTCTCCCCCTCTCCATGTTTGGGCATTCCTGCTGCTGTAAGACAGTGGCCCTGTCACTCCTCCAGGTGTTGCTGGACAGAAGCCAGCCAGTGCCAAAAAGTTTGGCGAGTGCTGGGCCTGACTCTGGCCTGAGACGGGTGCTGGGCCAGGTGGAGGTGCCTGTTGGTGTGAGCCCCAATACATACACACCCCATTGTCTGAGGCATCCACCTCCCAGGTCACAGCAGGACTCCAAGGGAGGGGTTTGTGGGAACTGTGAAAAGGGGGAGGGAACACCTTGTCCTCAACTCACCCTGGAGGCTATCCTTCCCCAACTCCAAGCACAAGTCCTAACTCTAGGAGGCCAAATCCCTCGGTTGCATCCACCTCTTCTGGCCATACCCTCCCCAGTGCAGGGGCTTCCCTGTGCCCTGCCCCACTGCCTCCTGGTCCTGTCTGCAAGTTGGAGCCCAGGGGGAGAAGCAGCCTCAGGAACCCTTTCAGATTATAATCCCAGCGACCCTGGAGGCTGAGATAGGAAGGCCACAAGTTCAAGGCCAGCCTCAGCAATTTAGCAAGACTGTCTCAAAATAAAATAAAATGGACTGGAGATGTAGCTCAGTCGTGAAGCATCTGGGTTCAATCCCCAGTACTAAAAAAAAAAAAAAAAAAAGTCAGGTGTGGTAGCACAGCCTGCAATCTCAGTCCCAGTGATTCGGGAGGCTGAGGCAGGATTGCAAGTTCGAGGCCAGCCTCAGCAATTTAATGAGATCCTATCTCAAAATAAAAAACAAAAATGGACTGGAGATGTGATCAATGGTAAAGCACCCCTGGATTAAATCCCCAGTACCGAATTAATTAATTAATAATAATAAAAACTTTTCAGTCATCTGTACATTCCTTGTTCACAGCAGGAAACTGAGGCCCAGACAGAAGGACTTGAGCCCAGGGTCACTGGGCTGCTTGCTGTCACTCACCTTTCACACTGCTCTCATGGAACCTCTGCTGGCTTCCCTCCCCTGCCCACATGCGCCCTGGTACCCTGTCTGCTTCTCCAGCAGCTGCCTTGGTGGAAACCAAAAGACGCAGGGTGGGGAAGGGCGGCTCAGAGCAGCTGCTCTTCTCAGGAAGCTGACACCAAGGCCAGCCGCTCAGCAACAACTTGTGGCTTTGCACCCAACCCTGGGGTCCCCGCCCACCTGGCGGCCACTAGCCAGCTCCCGCTGTCCCTTTTCCCCACTGCTTCTCACACTTCCCATCTTTCCCAGCTCTGTCCTTTCCTCCTGTCTCCCAGACCTGTTCCCCAAGTCCGCCCCCTCCCCATTCCTTTGGACCGGAGCCTCTGCTCTATCCAGCTTCCCGGGTGCCTGTCAGTGGGGCAGGCCCAGGTCTGAATGAGGTCTGATCCTCATTCCCTCTCAAGGGTGTTGAGGCATCAGTGCCAGAGTACAGTGATGACGACAGGCTTTGGGGTCTACCATATAACCCCCCTGGGTCAGAGCGAGCACAGTGGGAAATGAAGCGACACTCATTCCATGACTTGGGGTGACCCCCGCCCCCATCCTGAAACAGTTATCCCTCCCCTCTGCCATCAGCACATTCTGTAGCCTCTTGGGTTACCTGGCTGCCTGAGTGTCCCATTTTCCTGTCAGGATTCCCTGTCAGGGATGGGGGGGCACTGAAGGCTGTGTTCCCAGAGGCTGAGCTTGAGCGATGGGGGGAGGCGGTTTAGGGGAGAGACAGGCAGTGCTGGCTTTGCTCACCGGGCCCTGGACACTAAATCCCTTGTTGATGGCTGCAGCAACCCCTCCCTAGGGTAGGGTTACCATCTTCAGCCCTGTCCCCTTGACCCTCTCCCCTCCCTACTTCCCCTTGTCCCTCTAGAACTACTTCCTCTGGTCCCCAAAAGATGTTCTTCCCTGCTTTGGTCCCCTGAAGGCTTGGAGTATCTTTGCTGCTACTCCCACAACACACTAGGTGAGACAGTAGGCAGGCACTGGAAACAGGTTCAGGGTAGATAAGACTGAGATGGAAAGAGGGTGTGACTGAAACAAAGAGCCAGGCCCCAGAGTGGAAGAGGACGAAAGGGAAGAACTGGGGGGATGAGTCTGGGACTGGAAATTCAGTCATCAGGGGAAGTTGAGGCCATTGGGGGTGGGGTCAGTAGCAGAAGATAATGAAGTCTATCCTTGCCCCCCCCAGGGCCAGGCCACCTTTGCTTCCCTCATGAGTGACATCTCAGGCTGCAGCCCCACTGTTCCCCTCTGTCAGCAGAAATATCTCTCTCTTCTGACCCCTCCTGCTGGAGTCTCAGCCAGCCAATCCCTGACCTGGGGGAGGGGGGAGCCTGGCCCCCCCCACTCTCTCATAAGGACCAGCTGGGGGCTGGGGGGGTGGCCGGCTGCCGCAAGTGGGACGGGGGTCAGAGCTTCGTGGAGGGAAGGAAAACCTGGGGGGGGGCAGGCGAGAAAAAGGAAGAAACCCAGACTATAGGCAGGTAGAAACACTGAGGAAGGCCCCCAAGCCTGAGAGCCCCCAAAAAGGAACACACCGCCCCCTGGCCCCCAAGAAGGGAGCACAATGGAGGCTGCGCATGCCAAGAGCACAGAGGAATGTTTGGCCTATTTTGGGGTGAGCGAGACCACGGGCCTTACCCCGGACCAAGTTAAGCGGCATCTGGAGAAATACGGCCCCAATGGTAAGTGTCCCTTGGAGAACAGATTGGTAGCACCCACATGCATACCTGGAGCTGCTCCTCCAGAGTATCCTAGGGATATGGTCTGATGGTTGCAGCAGGGAGATACTGAGCAAACTGGGTCTGAGATGTGGAGTTTGGGGAGGTTTTACGGGATGACCTTGTGAACCTCAGGTGCCCTGTTGGTGGCCTTAGCCACAAACTCTTGGGCGTGGGGGCCATGAAGCTGAACCCCAAATGAACATGTCCTTTTCTCCTTTTTCCCTGCATAGAGCTCCCTGCAGAGGAAGGTAAGTACTGGAAGCCCTGAGCCCTCATAAATGACCCACCCTTCTCCCTGCCATACCGACCCCACACTCCTTTCCAAAAGGCAAAGATCCCCTTCCCAGACATTGCAGTACCCAAGGCAGAAGTCTCCAGGCACTTTCTCCTTGAGGCGTCCCACCCTTGAATAACTGCCCACTATTTTGAGGAGCCTGCCTTTTGGACTCCGGGCAGCTCCCTCTGCCATTCTCTCATACAAGCCGCCTGCCCATCATCCTAGGGATTCAGGACACTACACTCCCTGGACCTCAGCCTATATGCAAAGTCCCAGAGTTCCATCCTTTGGATCTTAACCCGGGGGACCCTTCCCCTTGCCTCTCCCTTCCCCCCTCCCAGGGAAGTCCCTGTGGGAGTTGGT